TGCAACAAGAGAACTCAGCTGTTGGGACAGATCCAGTTGCTCAGCAGAGTGGATGAGATTTAAGTATATGACACCCCCCCTTGGGGGGGGAAGGAAGGGAAGACAGGTTGGTTATTCAGATGCAGGCTACATGTGAGAAGATTACCAGGACCTCATCAATTAACAATTGTATGTTAAAAACCCATTGTCTGAGATCCCTTAAACCTTTTGATTTAAATGCATTTAATGATTTCACATTCAATGGTGGAGTTAAAGTCCCATTTTTCCAAAACAATCATGTTGAGGTCCCTTGGAGGGTTGAAATGCTCTGATATTACTTTGCCCTTACTTTGAGTCCTGATGTCAAACTTATGTCCATTAATTCTTTTGCACAAATGGGAATCTCAGAAGGTCTCAGCTAGCACAAAAGGTTTTTAAGTGCTGTTCAAATTGGTACATCAATTGCAAAAGCATAGTATTCAGTACACTCTGTTTTAAGTGCACAATCTACTGTGTGTGTGTGTGTGTGCAGACACACATGTGAGAGAAAAAGGTATAAAACACCAATAGCAATCCAAACGATAATAGATTTAATTTGCACAAAACATTTTTTTTTAAAAAAATCAGGAACTGTTTGATACACTTCAACTTTCAGAAACTTCTTTCCCTAATTTTGTTGCAATTATTTTAACCTCTCTCAAAATGCCCAAGTCAGCTCACAAAAACTTGTGCTTTTCAATAAAACGTGGTAGTAGAAAATGCGCTAATAGATTCCTGAATTCTTCAGAAAACAAATGTCTCTGCATAGGAGAAAAGAGAACAACCAACTTTAAATTTCTATTGTGGAGAGGAATTCTGTAAAGCAATTGACTGTGCAAGTACTCTTCTACACAAGAATCTCATTTAGACAGTAAACACAAAATCTTGCATGTATGTTCCAACAGCTGAGATCATTACGCATGAAATCCTTTCCAAAGAGATAATTCCTCCCAACAGGAAAAGGACCAGGAGCAAGAAAACATTTCTGACTACACAGGCTTTTCATTTAGGGAATGACTGTATTTAAGCTGTTTTGTACATCTAAGCGCTCCTTTCTGGATAGGGCCAACTGTTCGTGCAACACATTGCAAAACAGAACACATTTCAAAAAGAAAATCAAGGATACGGCAGTACTGTGATTGTGCAGAAAATGACAACATTTCCACATGTATTTATTGAGAAATACTAAAGATATACACATTTTGTACAAGCTTTCAATATTAATTTACAATTTCTTAAATAATATTATCCCTAGATAAAATCATGATTTACATTACACAGGTCCTTGGCTTTGAAAGTTCCATAAGGCTGCTATCGCTGGGCATTCAAATGCTATATTGGCTCATGTCAATTTTGCTTCTCTCTAAAGAACTAAATATCACATTTATTCAGGCATCTAAACATGGCCCCAGCCCTTCCCCCCAAAATCCAAAATGAAAATCACATCTAAAACTGAAATGGACGCAGCCCATATTTTTTCAACATGCAGAAAGATTTAGATTAGGTTCTGTTGTTCAACTTATTTGAAGAGCATGTTTACTTTGGACTGCAACTCTTTTAATTCACATATGGTTTATGATATTTAAGTTGGTCCTAATTAAGGTGTTGCCCTACTACAGAATTTGCAAACATATTTTACTAATTTAAATGTGCTCAAATTGCTACCATTATTTGGGAAGTAGAACTAAAAAAACCCTCCAACTATTACAAATAATCTGTACAGTGAGAAAAAAAAAGATCCTCTCCACACAACTGCAGGCCGACAATGGAAGGAGTGGGCCATGTATAGGTCTCCCACCGCAAGTAATGGCTGATGCACTATACCAAAGTCCAATGATAAGGGGAGAAAGGAGGGCACATTATGTCCTAAAGGAACAGACTGTATGGAAAAATATAGAACGCTGTCTGCATACTACATTTTCCCATTTCACTTTAGTAGTTTATTGATTTGAATTCCTCTATCCCAATGTTTCTCAACCTCAGCAACTTTCAGATATGTGGACTTCAACTCCCAGAATTCCCCACGCCCCCATCCGTCGGCGGGGGTTTTGTGGGTGGGAAGGGACCCTCCTTGCGGTGTTTGGGGGGGGGAGAGACTGACCTC